ACTCGCCACTAGAACAAACCCATGTGATCAATTCCTCACCTACCCTCTAGAGCGATAGGTCACTACCACTCTTACCATACGGGGGGTAGCGATTGGGTTAAAAACCTATCAACAATTAGCTAACATCCATCTTAAGAGATACAAGTACCTCTGAACTCTGACTTAGTTATCCCAAAGGGAACCGACAAATTCCTTGTAATCTTTTCCTTAAAGCTTCTAATGCGAGGACTCTCTTCACAACCTGAGAACGTCAACCCCACGAAACTCTCTTGCACTTGAATCCTGATTGATCCCTTATACTCCACAACTATATTGAATTCCAATAGGCAAACGAATTTGCACTACAACTTCCTCTGCCCCCATTGCTAAACTAACATGCCGATCTGATTACTGATCTTCCAAGCGGTACCCCTAATTCGCTTCCACCAAGGTCCCCACAACAAAATGCATGTTAATCTAAATCCAGCTCAATAATATGTGTTCCACTCATGACTCTTGAAATGGAATATAATGACCCTTGACAATACTAACCATGCAATCATAGGGAAACTAAACCGAAGGTAATGTTTTACACATACAAACACATGATCTAAAGGAATATATATATATATATATATATATATATATATATATATTCAAATAATAAAGAACGAGTAAAACAAAAGATAAGGTACCCACGATAGCATCTGATGAAACTTTAGTCTCCCATGTCTGCAACTATGAAGCTCGACTCCTCGCTATTGGAGCCTCCGCCCTACCCTCTCGGCTATTAGTAATCCTCAATGTAGCCAGAGCATGTGTCCTTACTGCTCCACTCACCAGCCTCAGACAGTTGGCCTTCTTGTGGCCCACCTGATTGCAGTGAAAACACATTAGAACCGATCCTCGAGGGCAATCCCTACTAAAATGACCTATCCGAACGCATCTGAAACATCCCCTTCTTGTCTCCTGATATCCTCCCTCACGAGTCGTCCCACACTTGACACAACGAACTCGGCCCTGATGGCCTCCCAAATGCGAATTTTAAGTCTTGTGTCTCTTCACCTAGCCCACTACGATCTGAATCTTCTTTGACTTCCTCTTCCCGAGGTTCTCCAATTCAATCTCCTACTCTCAGGCTCTATCAGTCATATCATTCAGGGTCTTGCACTCTGATAAGCTCACAAACTCTTTGAAGTTTTCCCTCAACATATTATGATACATCGCCCTCTTCATCTCCTCATCCGCCGCATACTATTGAACCAACAAAACCTTCTCCCGAAACATGGCAATGATCTCTGCCACTGACCACAGTCTCAGTAGTCTAATGAAGGTTCTGAAACCCCCTTGCCAACTGTTGCACCTCAATTGTTGGTGTAAACTTCTACTGGAATCCTGTGACAAACTCATCCTAAGACATGACTGCCATGGCCGCAGATCCTAATGCACTATCGACCTCCTCCCACCAATCACAGGCTTGGTCCCTCGAAAGATAAGATGCCAATCCCACCTTTGCCCCCTCAGGGCAGAAACTCGTCCGTTGAACATCCTCCATGTCAGCGATCCATCAACGGCTAGCAATGGGGTCCTTAGCCCTAAAGAATTTTGGAGCTCCACAAGCCTTGAGCTCCCAAGAAAATGGAGTCCATGCTACGAACTTCCTACCGCAATCTCAGCCCAAAAGGCCTCGAGTCGCTCATCTAGAAACTCCATAATCCCAGAGCAGTATGCTTCCTGAATCTCCTCCATAATCTTCATGTTTCCCTCCTTTATTGTACCAAATATCAAACGAGTCTGTTCCAAAATATAGCGGGTGATTTTTGAAGAAATGAACTCCCGTATCTGCTCATCCACTAGCTCAGAACCTGCACTTGAGCATATACCACAACCTGAACCTTCTCCATATGATCATCACCATTCTAAAAAGCAATCATAGAAATGATCAAAACTTACCCAAAGGTTCATCATCATACATGTTTCCTAGATTATCCATGACCCTTCTCGATTCGAGTATGGATCTTGTGCTTTTACTAGTACGGGGCTAATACTACATTCCACACCTATCCATACTTTCCTCAAGAATTATCCCGAATCCTCTAACTCACGTTCTCAATCTGGTACTCCAAGTACCTGCTAAACAACATATCCATACCTACTAAAATACTTCCCAGGCTCTCCTAAGATCCCAACCTCACCCTGCCATCAACTGCTGAAGGAATCCTACTAATGTCAACTAACTACTTTATGAATACAATCATATGCAACAAAGTTTAGATAATCCTTTGAGTAAAAGACTTAGCCCTACAATAGTTGGACTTAAATGAGAGCTTCACAATAGAGCCAAATCCATCACTCTGAGATTATTTAACCTTTGCAGCATGTGGCTTAACGTATTCACTTAATAGTTAACTCACATTAATAAGGGTCCCATAAAGTATAAAGCAAGCAACATTCGTGCAATAACACTCCTAGCCATAACCAATCAAAAGACATCTCAACTCGCTCGCTACTACCATTTTAGGAACTTCTACTAACACTTTAGGTTGCCTTATGCATGCAAATCATACACAATGCATGATCAAATAACCTGTCGAATGAAAGACTTTACCCTAGGACCACAACCAGACAATGAACATGAAATAAGGCTAAATAAGCTATTCTAGGGCTATATGATCCTAATAGTATACAATTTTTTTAAGCATTAACAATAACTTCTATCAACATAACTTCCAAATCTAGAATAACATCCAATTCCAAATCTATCTTGCATTTTCTGAAAGTATCCCTAGCCTTATTCTAGCATGTAAACATTCGTATCATATAACATATCAACATGTACGGGTTTTCTAGAAATCACTTACTTGAGTTCTCCTGGTTGCATGCAGCACACCCACATTTTCTTTATAAATATATTTCTTTTTAGAAATTTGTTTTCTTTCAAAAGATTACCAATTCCTCAATTTGAGTTCAGTCACACCCGAGAGTGTGTCCAAATCTCTCAAACCAAGACTCTAATACCAACTTGTAATGCCCAAATCAAGAAACAACTCAAAACAGGGTGTTACAAATCACATAAACCATGTTCTTACATTTATTTTGAAACATAAACAATTAATCGTACCTTATGCTTGTTATTTCTGATTTTCTTTCGAAGAAAATTTTATTTTCATTTGACGAAATAAAAATCCTAGATTGAGGGACTGAACATCTACTTCATCTTTAATTTCAGGCGACATTAGCCTTTTATAAGTGAAACATGGCTAGTTGTAAAGAACATGGAGTGTAAGCATAAATACAAAAAAACCTAGGGAGGAGTTGAAGAAGCAGGATCGTAGAGAATAAAACTGATCGTGGGGATGAATGGACCGATCGTGAGGATGAATAGGCTAGTCGGTATGATTTATACTAATGGTTATATTCAAACTATACACATAATATATACTAATCACGAAGCCACAATCTACATATCATCAATCGTTACAATTTGGTTCCCGATAGTGTAATTTATAGAACGTAATTAGCATAGTAGAAGAAATAATACTACAATCGAACACTTTTTAGCCATCTACAACATTTCATCATATGAAATCACGAAATCATAATCAAAGTTTCCATAAACATTCGATAATTTACAAACTACAAGCCGAAATTCAATGAAACACAATTGAAATTACAACGACGTACAAAAAACTCATCGGAAAGTGTGGAAAGAGGGCTTCATCTTTCTCAAATCGTCATAATAATAGAAGGAATCATTCTCTATCTTTTTAATTGTTCACTAGTTTCCCTTGGTATTTATAGAAGAGGGCAAGGGGGATATCATGGTGGGGAGCAATAGTTTTTGAGACAAACGATTGATTGTAGTGGGGAAGTTGAAGGAGTCGTAAGAGCTTAAGGTTGAGAAGTGATCGGCTGAGAAAGTAACCTCCGATTAACAATAGCAAAGAATCGATCGTGCAGGAGAAACTTGGAGAAGAATGTGGAGCTACGAATTAAAGAAGAGAACCGTCAAAAATCTATAAATAGAGAATTAGAGTTGACAAGATTGATTGAGATGATCCAATAGCTGAAAATGAAAGATCAATTATCAATGTACCGCTGTTAGTAATAATAATAATTTTATTTCTAAAATGCCCAATGTTAATAAAATCTCAAAACCATAAAGATTTTTTTTTCAGAAAATAAATTTAAATTTTACTAAATCATAAAAATTACACGGAAAGGAATATACTTTTTTTGACAAAACTTCATAAATGGTCCCTGTGGTTTTACAAAATATGAAGTTTCGTCTTTAATTTTAAAAAACCCCACGTGGATTCTATGGTTTCAAAACTTTTAACAAAATGTTATTATTACTAACTCTATCAAGTTTTGTCTATTAATTGAAAGGCATTTTCATTATTTCACTATTATAGGGACCATTTATGAGTTTTTTTTGTTATTTAATAAAAAAGAAAAAATAATTATTTTAATATACAATGGGTCCCATCTCTCTCTCTCACTCACTCACACACACACACTCTCTCTCTCTCTCTCTCTCTTTGCCAACACCGACATTAACCGGAATACCAAAATCTCTATGAAAGTGTGCTAATCATTTAACTTCAATCATTTTCTCCACTGCCAAATTCAAAAGCTCATGAAGAATCCTAACAATTCGCTTCTCAAATCGCTCAATCCCTCAACAACTCGAAGCTCTAAAAGACTCTTTTTGTTCACAGGGTTTAACGTAAGGAAGTCTTTGTCATTCATTTAATTTTGGTTTAAATCCCACTTTAATTTTGAATTCGGTTGGGAAATTGATTGAAAATGAATATTTGGTTTCGAATACGCTTAACCATTTCTCTTTATGCTCTCTCTCCCTCCATTTAAATAAGACAAAGGCTCATAAATGATCCATGTGGTAGTCAAATGATGGAAATGCCCTTGACTTAATGGACAAAATTTAATGGAGATAACAATAAGGATCTTTTGTTAAAAGTTTTGAAACCACGAAGATTTTTTAAAATTGGGAACGAAACTTTAGATTTTGGGAACGAGATGGACCATTTATGAAGTTTTATCGTTATTTTTCTAGCTGACCCCTATCCTTACCAAAAGTAACGCTCAGGGTTTAGTGCCGCCGATTATTTTTTTTCCGGTGGGTAACGGTGTGCAATGGCGGCGATTATGCCAAATTTCGGCCTCCGGCAGCTTCCCCTGCTTAACAAGTTCCGTTCAACTCTTCCTACGTCGCCCCCACCGTCTCTATACCTTTATCGTTCTTCCTCTTCCATGAGTTTACCTGTTGCTGTTTCTTCTAATGTATCCTCTTCTTCAAATGAAGATTCGGAGGAACCCAAATTGAATACAGGCACATTATCCATCACCATTGAAGAACCAGATAACAGAAATAAGAACAAAAAAGCTAAGCCTTTTTTCCCCAAGCGAGGCGAGACCTTGGAACTTGTGTGCGAGTCTTTAGCTTTTAAAGGAAAAGGTCTGTGTAAGGTGGAAGAAACTGGTTATGTAGTCATGTGCGATCGCGCTCTTCCTGGTGAACGCTTTGTCGGTCGAGTTACACGCAAAAAGAACAATTACGCCGAGGTCCGTTAGCTTTCTCTTACTCTACATCCTTCAAACTAGCTATCATTTGGCTACTTCTGCATTTAGTTAGGTCTGGTGTAGTTCTTCGTTGCGTTATTGCATTAGCAGCAAATCAACCTTGCTAGGACGTTGTAGGTGAAACTCAATCGTATTTCTGCAATAACAAGATACTCACCCTTTAGAAACGATAGTTAGCGAGTTTTTCAGGTACCAGGTGTTTGACAAAATGCTACATAGAACTTTGACCTTACAAGCCTATAGATGTTTGGCTATTCTTTTGTATAACCGTTTATGGCCATGTAAATGATGTTGTATGGCTTTGTTAGAATTGCAGGTGACTAAAGTGAAGACTCTAAGTCCTCATACAGATATGGTGGAAGCACCATGTGAATATGCTTTGCATTGTGGAGGTTGCAGGACACAAAACCTTCTATATGAAGCTCAGGTTAGAGCTAAGGAAGAACAAGTTCGAGACTTAGTAGTACATGTTGGAAAATTCTCCTATAAAGACCCAAATTTTAATAACATGATGAAGCCCATTGTTCCATGTGATATGCAGTTCCACTACAGAAACAAGGTAAGTAAATGCCATCTTATTTATATATCTGTTTTATCTCTTTCTTCTTTGCTTAAATCCTAATCTCTATCTATCAGATGGAATTTTCCTTTGGTCCCAAAAGATGGCTTCCCAAAGAGCAATTGCTTGAGAGAAGTGAAGATGCTAATGTCTATGCTTTAGGATTACATGCTCCTGGTTTCTTTGATAAAGTTTTAAATGTCGACAAGTGCTTTTTACAAAGTGAACCCGCAAATAAGGTAATGCACTTCAGATTCTAAAACCACTATCAATAATTCTTAGTGGATAGAATTAAAAAAAAGTAAAAAATTTATCTTTGGTAATTATGAAATATCAAGATGACAGCATGCTTCCTTTTAAGTTGCATTTCTGATGTATAGGTTCTTGCAGCCGTTCAAGATTGTTGGAGGAATCACGAACTTGGACTCTCACCATATGATTGCCACTCTCATGATGGATTCATGAAGCACCTCATGATAAGAAGTGGAAGGTATCACCTTTTTTTTTCCTTCATATTCTTATAAAGTTATTACTTAATTAATACTAATATAGTAATACACATCAATTACAACTCCATAACTTTTCACAGAGATGTTGACACTAAACTCCCTCAACTCATGGTTAATTTTGTGACATCTTCCTACAAACCAGAGCTCCTAAAGCCTCTTGTTGACAAACTATCAGTTTTCCCAGAAGTGGTATGCGAATTTATCACATACTTTTTATTACTTTTTTGTAAAGAAACTTATAATTTGTATATTTTTTCTAAGGTAAGCATCATGAACAATGTAAACACAGCAGTTGGGAACACATCTGTGGGAGAGCAAGAGTACACTCTATACGGAAAAGCTACTATCACTGAAATGTTGAGAGGATTATCATTTGAAATTTCAGCAAACTCTTTCTTCCAAACAAATGCACATCAGGCTGAAATTCTTTACAAGTTAGTACAAGATTGTGCTGGTTTAAAAGGAGATGGTTCAGAAATAGTTCTAGATCTTTTCTGTGGGACCGGGACAATCGGGCTCACACTAGCCAAAAAGTATACTCACTTATCCTGCTATCTCATTATTAAATATTCCTTTTTTTTTTTTTTTTTTTTTAATAAAAATTTTGGATTTGTTATTTCAGGGTAAAGCATGTTTATGGTTATGAAGTAGTTGCTGAAGCTGTATCTGATGCTCGTCGGAATGCTAAGTTAAATGGTCTACACAATGCCACATTTATCCAAGGGGATCTTAATAAAGTTAGTGAAAGTTTTGGGAATGATTTCCCAAAACCAGATATTGTCATATCAGGTTTGTTTTCTACTACTACATTGTACTTTTGATATTTTTCTTATTAAGGCATTAATTATACTTTTGATGTTTTATGCAGATCCCAATAGACCAGGGATGCATAATAACTTGATTAAATTCTTGTTAAAGCTCAAGGCACCGAAGATTGTGTATGTATCATGTAACCCTGCCACATGTGCACGTGATCTTGACTATCTTTGTCATGGTTCGGTGAGTACCCCTCACTTTTACGATAATAATAAAGTTACTTGGCATGATTGTGAATTATTTGAGGGGTATAACCGTCTTTTCGTTTATTTAACAGGTGGAACAAAAATTGAACGGATGTTATACATTAAAAAGCATACAACCTGTCGACATGTTTCCTCACACTCCTCATATAGAATGCGTCTGTTTGCTTGAGCTTCGTTGATTCATTCTGACCTCTTTCTTGATTATAAACCTACTTCTGATATATGGTTTTCATCCACAAGTTTTGTTTTGTTTTGTTTTTAATTATACATTGTAATTTATAAACTAAAAAGTTAAAAAGTGTTTACATGCACCAGCTTCTAGGATTGGCTTAAACGACTAGATGTCTAGGTGCTTGTGGTGTTTTGAGTGAAACATTTCTACACATCAAATAAATATCATCTCTAAAATGAATGATATACAAAAAGAGAAAGTAGAATAATGCTAAAACCATCTGATTATTAAAAGGTGGAAATGAAGTAATACACATAAAAATGACATATAGTAGGCCTTAGGTCTAATGGTTATTTGTGTGAGAATAATGAATCTTTGTCATTTGTTTGCTTATATGAAACTGTATAAAAAGTTATGGAAAAAGAAGAATATAATTGTCGTGCAGCATTACAATATAAAACTTCTAACCAGATGTAACAAACAAATTTAGTATCAAATAACCTTGAAATGCATATCAATTTTACAATGGAAGATCAACCCTCGACATCAAAGAAAAAGAATTCTAGATCGTAATCCTAATTTTAAATCAATAGAATTTTTTTAACCGTATTAAAATTTAATAAAAAAAAATAATTAGTAAAATTTAGGAAATCCACACAAACATTAAAGAAATAATAATAATAATAAACGGACCAACAGTTTTAAGGTAAACATGGCCGATTCAATCGTGATCCAACCGGCTTGATGGACTGCATCAACCTGAGTTTTAAAACATGGGTTTTAGAAGGGGTTAGTTGTTATTAAATAATAATCTTCAGATTTATTTTACGTAGGTATCTCAATCTTTTTTGTAATTGAATTTTATTATAGGTAGGTTCCTAATACTTAAATGATACCATGAATTTTGTTACTTGTACACTAATAAAACCGTTGTGATTTTTTTTTTCTTTTCTTTACATATGCATGTATAAGCAATGATTATGACAATAATCAAAATCTTTTTAAAATAAAACGATCTATTTATGAATAAGACATAGTTTATATTCTAATTAGAATTGTTGATTGTTTTAATCCAACGTTTCAAAATCATTCTTAGAAACAATTCCAAATATTAAAAATTAATAATTAGCTTATTATGAATAAACAAATACAAATATATTTTTTTAAAATTACCTTTGACACCGTATAAACATTTTCACAGAAAACACAAATTATTTTAAATAAACAATCAGTAAAAATAACCGGGATAATGACTTAAAAAGGTAACGAAGTTTCAAAAGTCTATAAAAAAACCATTGTTGTTTTTTTTTTTATACACAAAATACCATTTTACCGGCTATTGTAGGTTATCCGGTTTCCAAATGTACCATTGTTGTTTTTTTAGTACAAAAAATACCATTAATGTTACTATTTGTACACAGAATACTAACAAAATACACATGTGTTCAACTAAAACATTGTGATAACTAGGTACTTCAGGTAAATGAGATGAGATAAGCGTAATCAACAAGTGCTTGTTTAATTTTTGTTGAAATTGTTGGAAAAGATCTTACTTCCACCGTATGATCAGCCGAACAAGATTACAAGTGATGCTTCGGCTGATAAATTTTTCTTCAAATCGGTGATGAGAAGAGCGTAATTAGCAAGTGCTTGTTCGGCTGTTAGATAGGCTAAAGTAGAAGCATTCTTGTATGCCTCTTTCTGGCTTCCATATGGCATCGATTCACCATAATATCGATGCTAGATCAAATCACGCAGCTTTTGATAAAATTGTATTATTAAATGTCTGCAAGTGAACAAATTAATGTAGAGTAGAGTGATTAGGGCTTTTATTTTGGGGAAGATGACCATGGCACCAAAACGAGGGGCGAGTTCCCAAACGAAGTCGGTGTTGGCAGCGAACCATTCGATGTTGCCTTCGTTGCCGCAATAAAGGAAGATTGGGCCCAAACGACTAGGGCCTGGGCCCACCCAGTGATCGGAGTTGATGAGATAACGTTGTTGGAACTTGGGAAGATCATTGAAACTAAAATGATCAAGAGTCTGATCAAAGTATCGTGTCTCGTAAGTGTACTTCGGCTGAACAAGAATTTTTGGGTTTTGAGAAGCCGTGGGGATTTGCCGAGAAACGGAGGTGGCCGGTGAGATTCCAGCGTTGATGAAAGTAGGTAGATGATTAGGAGGAAGAATAAGAAAAAGGGTTTTGCCATGGTGGTGGAGGGTGGCGATGAACAACAGAAGTGACTAAAGTGAAGTGGAGGGTTCTTTATAAAAAGTAGCTAAATTTCCATTACATTCAAAAAAGGAAAAATGACTTAAAAAGGTAACGAAGTTTAAAAAATGTATAAAAAAGACCATTGTTTTTTTTTGTACACAAAATACCATTTTACTGGCTATTGTAGGTTACCCAAAATGTATTATTTGAACACATATGTACTTCATTGGTATTTTGTGTATAAAAAATATATACTTTAATGGTATTTTGAGTACTAAAAATAAAATAATGGTATTTTTGTACATTTTTGAAACTTTATTACCTTTTTAAATCATTATCCCAAAATAATCTATACAAAACTCATTATTCAACCAATAAATGTTTTTAATATTTTCATATGAAACACTTAATGGTTACAATAACTTATTAACCGCTTCAAATGACAATAATCGATTAGTATTTCAAATAAACAATTTCAAACTATAATACTACTCCGTTTATCTTATGTTGATTTAAAATTTCACTAATATTTATAGTTTAGAGGCACCACCCAACACATCTCCCACGAGAAACTCATTTCGAATTGGAACATATATCCTTCTAACAAGTAAACAGCTGTCTCTGCATTCGTTTTATTGTCCGGATAATAAAGAAAAGGTCAATCTTGCATTCATGGACGACAGTACCACACACTGAATCATTGGTTTCCAAATCCTTTGAGTATAGCATCTGTACGTATGGGGCTCTCTGCTACTTCCAGAACTCTCCGTGTGGATGAAAACTTGTTGCGATGGTGACTGAATACTAATTATTCTGAAACAGGATAAGGCGGGTTTTCAACTTTCAATCCGGTCCCCTACAATGACGAGAGCTAGCAAACTCACAGGTATCGTAGATACATAGAACTGATAACTGTGAGCTGTTTCCTTATGGAAACTCTGTTGTAAATCCCTTTGTTCATTATTTTTGTCGTTCTCTTTCCTTGTTAGCGATATTGTAGACAAGCTGTTCGACGAAATGACTGTAGATATCTACATAGACGTTGGGGCCTTTTTAGTATGGCCCATGACGCGAGTCTGCTTGTTCAAGTCATAAAACACTTTCGAATTAAACCAATATGTTTAAGCCACGTGTAATGTTCCAAATCAATTTGCTTATGTAAATTAAACCAATATATTTAAGCCACGTGTCTGGAACACATTCACTTTACGTGTGTCGCCGGATGATAATAAGTTAGTTAGTTAATAACCGTTGTTGTAACTTGTAAGATTCAAAAATTGTACCTTGGTGACGACCAGCTTCATTATTTTGTTCAATCCACACTTTTGTCCTTTGTGAATCAATTGTTGTTTTAATATATGTTTTGGATGTAATTATTTGGTTATTACAATTAAAATGATAAACAAATCAAATAAATCCCGCTAGATAAAGTTCAAACTCTCGATTGATCATTCATCCAGATAAAAGCTTCAACTCTATCTAAAAACTATGTATGATGAAGAAAAGTTGAAATGAAAGCTTGGATGTATTGAAAGTTTTACCAACCTTGATCATAAAACCGAGTAGGGTAGTTGACGTATTATTGATTGTTTCGTGTATAAATATACAAAAAGAATAGACATGTTAAAAAATTCTACTTTTTACAAATATAAAGTGCACATGAAAATATATGTCAGTTAAATTTGAAAATACATTCCATAAAACAAATATTGCTACAAATACATTTATACTACATTTAAATTGCTTGATAGTTTTAAGGATGCATATTCGAAAATGTGAATGAAAGTGGAGTACAAACAATGTTTTATTTGTCCTTTATAAAAATTAATAAATGGAAAGAAAACAAAAAAGAGAGTTGACGATGAAGACTCAGAGAACAATCTTAGAAAATTTCAAATGGAAACCCATTCATTCATTGAGCTGTAGTCATGGGTTGCATGTGGGTTGGATATTTCAGAACCCCCAAAAATAACAAATTAATAATAAAAAAATACAAAAATTTTGACTGTTTGTTTTAAATAACGAATTCTTTCACGTCATCATTACTATATGTTTAGCAAGTTACAGGAAACTAGAAACTGATAGAAGATAACATAAAAATCCTTAAGTTTTCACAAAAATATTGGTTTTACCCTTCGATGTGTTTTAGATTCAGTAAAGCCCGAAGTTTTGTTTAATTTGTTCATTTTTACCCTTATAGCTGGTTTCCAGGTAACCTACTAGTTATCTAATGCCAGTAAAGCCCTTGAATTTTCAAAAATATTCGGATTCACCCTTAAGTTTTTAAAAAATGTTCGAATTTATCCTTACATTGATTATTATTATTATTATTATTATTATTATTATTATTATTATTATTATTATTATTATTAATACATTTCTAAATGTATAAAAATATTTTATACATACATTTTTAAATGTATAAAAATATTTTTACTAATATAAATATATTTTTAAAAATATATACTTGTATTTAGTATTTATATACATTTGAAACCCCATGTATTCCTGTAGTAACGTATTTATATGTTAAAAATTATATTTATTTGTATTTAGTAGGTATAAATATATATTTATTTCATATAAAATTATATATTTTACATATAAATATAAAAATGCATATTTATATGGTTTATATTATATAAAAGATATAATTAGATGTATTTGTACATATTATCAAATAAAAATATATATTTATATCATAATTATATGCATACTATAGTTTTTATATAGAGGAAATACATATTTATATCTATTAAATACAAATAAAAATATTTTTAAATGTATAAATATGTCTTTAAATGTATAAATACACTTTTTATTTGTATTTAATACATATAAATATGTTTGGAAATGTATAAATACGTTTTCATTTGTATTTAGTAAATATAAATATGTGGTTCATTTGTATAATAACTATCTTATGCAAACAGTCATGTAATAATATATATATATATATTTATAGTTAGTAATATGTACAAATACATATAAATATATCTTTTAT